GGCTCTATTTAAATTTAGCTATTAATGGCTCCCAACTAGTTTTCTATTTTTTTATTGCTTAATGATGGATTGCTAAATTTATTTTATTTATTACAATACAGATTGAGAATAATTGACTGGTTAATTAAGTCATAACTATGATTAAATTTAGTCATGACTCATCCCTAAATATTTCCTTTATTTGTGTTTTAATGTTGTAATTATCTCTTTACTACTAAGCGGGATTAACTAGCGCCTGTGACATTTTAAAAATTTTTTTAATACTGACTAGAGTTATTTTTCTGCAGATAGTAATCCCAATTAGTGCTCTATTATTTGTATTTTGCTGCTTGTAATTTTGTACTATAAATTGGAAGCAACTACTGTCTGTAAAGCTTTGCGTAAGAGCTAGAGCCTAGGTGCTGTTTACTCATAAAGACTGTTCTAGTTACTGTTACTTCAGTTTTTATTCTAGATGCTTTAAAGTAAATAAGTAGTAAAAATGAAAACAGCAGAAACCAGGGATGTTGGAGAGCCCAGCAAATATAACAGGAGCGCTGCGGTGTGACCAGAGGCCGAACGAGTGCTTCAGACCAGCTCAGTCACTCCAGGATTTTGCGCTTCAGCTCCGTCAGCTCTTTTTTTTTTTTTCTCCTGAGAACCCCAAATTCCCGGGGGAACAAACGAATGTGCGTACGTCGGATACATCGCGGCATTGAACCGCCGTCTGTGCCGCCGCCGCTGCGCTGACAGGGGCACGAGTAACTGCCGCCCCCTTGGCCAGCGGCACATCCGGCAAAACCCACAATGCCGAGACGGCAGAGACGTGGCAAAGGCGAGCTGCGGCGAGGACTGGCACGTCGCAGCAGGGACGATAGCGTAACGTCCTCTGTGTCTTCGCAGCTCTCTTTGCGGTGCCGGCACCGTTACCACGGGATTCCCCGGGGGGAAAACAAGCGCGCTCCGTGCGTGGCAGCGCAGCCTTGCCACCTGTGTCTGCCTGCAGGAACAGGTGACACCAGAAGCTCCAAAGCGAGGGCCGGTGCCGGTCACTATATTGATCCACGACCTGGATGCAGGAGTTGGATGCCCTGTAAGGTCAGCCAGCTTGCTGCTGCCGCTGACCGAGGGCCGGGAGGCCTCGCAGAGGGATCTGGGTAGGTGGGGGCGTTGGGCGGTCGTCAGCGGCATGAAATGGAACCAGTCCGAGTGCCAGGCTCCGCACCTGGGGTGGGCGAGCGGCTCCCCTGGGAGAAACGCGCGCTGGGCCCGCGGCTCCGCTCGGCCCGACGAGCGTGTTTACAGCTTTGCCCCACACCGCGC